GCACTAAAATCGTGAGTCTTGCATACTCCGGTCCCCTCACCATCTGCCACACGCTGGCAGAAAAATGCACGGACACAGCAGCCAGAGACCACACAGGTCTCCACACTGACAGGTTTCGTTTTCAGCTTACTTAGTACACTACTAAAACGAAACTTACCTGCTGCTGGGGAAGTTAGTTTAAACTGTAAATACTGTATCACATACCACAGTACAACTACTGGGCTGCATAATGTATACTGTTATGACATACTACTTGCTGCATACTACTCTATACTTAGCACATACTAACTAAACTGCATACTAATGTATACTTTATGTCATACTACTTACTGCATACTACTGTATACTTGGCACATACTAACTAAACTGCATACTAATGTATACTTTATGTCATACTACTTACTGCATACTACTGCATACTTAGCACATACTAACTGAGCTGCATAATGATGTATACTTTATTTTCATGCTACTTGCTGCATACTACTATATACTCATCATATACTAATTAAGCTGCATACTAACGTATACTTATATCATGCTACCTTGCTGCATGCTACTACATACTTATCACATACTAACTGGGCCGCATTCTAAGGCATACTTTTATTACATACTGCTGGCTACATACTATACTTATCACATACTACTGTATACTTTTATTACAGACTGCTTGCTGCATACTACCATATAGCTCATTACATTCTACGTACAGCACTAGAGTAGTACATACTGCTATGTAACACACTACTAGGCTGCTCTACGGTATTACATACTACTGGGCTTACCACTATGGTTCAAATGGTGTTACATTCTATTGCGTTACACGCCACGGTATGCCATGATACTATATGACTTTTTGCATACTATGGTGTTATATACCACCATGACACGAGGCATGACATGTGGCGGTATTTCATGCCACTTTACTACGTGACTGTAGGGCATATTCTAAGATATGCGCTACACGATAAAGGAGGGCGGCCACTTACATATTATGGTGGTGCGCGTTGCTGTGGATTTAGAATGTGTTCACATGCTTTACGTGCATTAATCTACAAAGCTAGTATCAGAGATGACATTACTTATTTCTCTATGCTTACTTTTCAGGTTCAAGTTGACTCAAATCAACTACGTTCATTGCTATCAAATCTTTATTTAACATTGTCCAGTAAGTAAGGTGTTAAGTAAGGGGTACCCTCAGCATTAAAAGAGAAGTACGTTTATTACTATGTATAACATATACTCCTCACTACTATCACTAGGTATAAACCTCGCTTTCATTAGATTAGTGGTGGAAGTCTCAGGTTCTCTGTTTGGGTGTGACTTAAATTTTTGATCTCACTACAACAAGTGGGTCTCAGGTACGTTTTGCCTAAACACCCCCACCCCTCCCCCCTTAGAGCTTATGATTTAGTGTTACTGGTGTATCTAGGATAGGCGGCCACTAGTAAATTATCCGGGCTTCTTCGCCTTAGTAGTAGTGGTCCCGCGAGGACAACCCATTTCCTCCACGTTTGAGGACATTCGCCCCTCGGGCCAAATCATAGTTAGCCGGCCTCACTTGTCACTCCCATTCTATATTATGCATTTTAGTTGTCATCGAGAAGCCAACACCCCACCACAACGTTTCAGTGGCAACAATTCCCTTGCGCCAATCGATAGATAGAGCCTCTCAAGCCACTTGGCAGCTAGCAGGGCCTCACCTGCCACCACACCTAGGAAATTGTTTCGCCATCCGGCATTAGCTAGCCAGCCATTAACCAAAAGATGGTACAATGGCTGATGGTTTGATTATTTCCTTTTAGTATGTCACATCTACCGGATGACACAGACAATTTGTCTCTACCCAGTTCTCCGGCCAGATCCTTGTCACCTGCTTGTAAAGGCGACATTGGGAGTCCAACTTCAATAAGGTCATGGACCATCCCTCGCATTACTGCAGAACTCCGGAGACGCCACGGCCAGGAAAGCTGAGCTCTACAAATTAATGCGGACTCATACTGATAACTCGGGGGCGGGAGAGGGCACAAGTGGTACGGGCAACTCGGACCTACACACCATGGTCGCTTCACTAGTAGCATCCATGAGCAAGGTCAACAATAGACTGGATAGGATCAAGGCTCGGAGCCCTCCTGTCAGGTCTTCCAGGCCCTCGACTGCCTTACTCCCCAATGCTCCACTATTGCAATCAGGTAATTATGTGCCTTCTGGTTCAGAAACTCACATTATCAATCCTGGGCACATGGTCCCAGATAAGATTAAGAAAGACATCTTGGAGGAAAAGGATGTCAATCTTGTGGCATTACTTATTGCTTCTCACGATATCATTGATAACCGCACTTATGCTTATGGTGATATTTCGGTGGTGTTGAAAGCCAAGGACCCTAGATTGAATAAGAAACTGTCCATTACTGATTTTGTCTTGGCTTTTGGTATATATCGTGATGTAATTTGTTCTGTTTATCCGCATAGACGAGAGGAACTCAACCTCTACATGCACAAGCTGGTGGACTTGGGAAGCAAATATGGTGGGTCATCCTTTTATGACTATCACCAATCCTTTTCGGCAAGAGCGTCTGCAATATTGGCTCAGTATAACGTCAAAACTGACTGGAGCCGCATGGATACTGACCTATTTTGTAGACATTTTGCCGGTCTCAAGACACCAGCTTCCTCTGACTATTGTCCCACTATGCCAGAGTCCACACCTGGGACTTTCCGTGAACCACAGACCAGGTTGGACAGATCTGGCAAGGACAAACTTGGTCGCCCTATTGTTTACCTGGGAAAGTCTCAGGTTTGTAATAACTTCAACGTAGATACCTGTGGTTATAGTGCCTGCAGGAGGTTACATGTGTGTTTACATTGTTTTAGGGCACACGCCAAGTCTATGTGTCCTAATAAAAGTCATACTAAACCATACTTAACATCCGTAAAGATTGGTTCTTTGGCGCACGCATTAGCCTCCCACCCATCCAAACACCTAGTGGACTTTTTGATAGATGGTTTCACGGAGGGATTCCATACAGGGTTAGTTCATGCCCGTTGGCATTTATGAATGCATAAATTTACAGTCAGCATTTGCAAACGTGTAAATGATCGATGCTCTATTACACAAAGAATTGGAGGATGGGTTCTTATACGGACCTTTTCGTGAGCCCCCATTTTCCAATTGGCGAACCAACCCCATAGGATTAGTCACTGGGAAATCCTCAAGGAAACACAGACTTATTTTAGACCTTTCATCACCTCACTCCTCGGCCATACCAAGCCTTAATTCCCTAATTCCATCTGAGGAATTTTCACTCCAGTACGCCACTATAGACAACGCTATACACACCATCATCACAGCTGGCATAGGGGCTTGGCTCAGTAAAACTGACATCCTCAATGCGTTTAAGTTACTACCCATTCGCCCGTCACTATGGCATCTGCATGGTTTAAAATGGAAAGGTGTCTATTATTTTTTCACAAGACTCACGTTCGGGTCAAAAAGCAGCCCAAATATATTTGACATCTTTTCCGAAACCTTATGTTGGCTGCTGTTAAACAATTGCAGATGCCAGGCCGTTATTCATTATCTGGACGACTTTCTGTTCGTGGAGAATAATTCCTCTTCCCACAGTGATCTGACAAAGGCCATATCATTTTTCATTCTTTGGGGGTGCCAGTGCCCCCAAGAAAATAGAAGGCCCTGACACGTTAGTAAATTTCCTAGGTATCCTGCTTGATTCAGTAAACATGTAAGCGAGCCTACCTCCAGGTAAAATTGACAGCATACTACAATCCATTAACAAATTTTTGGTCAATAGGACATGCAATAGGAAGGAATTGCAATCTTTGTTGGGATCGTTGAATTTTGCTATACGAATCATCCTGCAAAGCAGGGCCTTTATTCTAGACTCCTTTGCCTCCTCCCTCTCATACCAAATGACGTTACTCGTATCAGCTTGGAGGCACAGGCTACAGCTGATTTGCTAATGTGGTGCAAATTCTTGTTGCAGTGGAATGGCAGAAGCATGTTCTTGCCTCCATTGTCTGTCCACTCTCTGGTCATTTGGACAGATGTGGCAGCATCAATGTGTTTTTCTGCCATATTTGGAAATGAGTGGCTTGGCCAGAGGAGGTCCAGCACATTGAAGGCTTCTCACGCACCTCGGCCTTATTTGAGATATACCCCATTGTTGCGGCAGCTGTGGTGTGGGGTCAGTCTTGGGCAGGTTGTTTATGCCACATCATAAACAAAGGCTGTTCGGAGTCTCTAACGATCATGAGATTCATGAGAAGACTGACCTGACTGGCTGCCTGCAATCACTTTTATTTGGTGTGTTCTCATGTACCAGGGGTCTTTAATACTGCAGCTGACAAGTTGTCTCGCTTTGAATTCCAGGCATTCAGAGAGACGTTAGCCACGGCCTCCCCTATAGCCACTGCAGCACCACGGGAGCTGGTGATGGACTGAAAGAATTGTCAAGGCATAGGCTCGCCTTGGCTAGTCTAGCCCTGTCCGACAATACTAAACGGTCTTATGATAGGGCCTTCAAACTATACAAGAGGTTTATGATAGAACACAACTTGGTGCAGTTTTTTGCCATTTCAACACTGGCAGCTTTTGTTTCATTTTGTCATCTAAAACTCAAACTGTCACACAACACCATCAAATTCTATTTAACCGGCATACAACACCACATGTATACCTTATACCCAGATAACTCTAGTTTCTTATCTTCTTACCCCATTAAAAACATTCTTAAAGGCGTACAGAAATCCAGTAGCACTCCTCCATCAACAAGATTACCAGTACATAAGCAGCTATTTAGGGATATGTCCAACATGTTGGACACGGCCCCATTTGAACACTATACAAACACGGTAATCAAAACAGCCATCTACTTGGCATATTGTGGTTTTCTTAGATCTGGTGAGTTTACCATACACGGAAACAAATACGCACAAAACTGCCTTAAACGGTACCATCTCACCAAACTACATGATCATGATATCTTGTCACTACCAGTTAGGAAAACAAGCCAGCTGGGCAAGATAGTACCAGTCACATATTATCCTACTGCAAACAGATGGTGCCCGGTGAAAGTATTGGATACATACCTCCACTCATTACCACCACAGTCTGACATCCCACTGCTAGTCTAGCACAAAGAGGTCTTAACAACAGCCAAATTCATGCAATACGTCCGCATGTTACTGACCAGACTAGGTCTGAACGCTGGCAACTTTTCTGGCCATTCCTTTCGGATAGGGGCAGCCACCACAGCCTCCAGCCAAAATATTCCAGTACATGTAATCAAGTCTTTGGTCCGCTGGAAGTCATTTATATATACCTCAACCTGTGTTAGAAATTAGGGCGGCATTTGTTAAACTGTCATCTTGAGGTATTTTCTATGTTTTTCTATGTAATAAATATTTTCTTTGGCAAAGACACTGCTTATTTCTGCCCTCTTTATTACAGGCCTACCGCATACGTCGATTTCGGCACACTTCAACCGACTTGTTCATACCTATGGTTACACCATACTATACATACGTTACCTTACAAGAATAGCACCGAACACAAATGTAAAGGCTTGCCTGGAGTTGTGGGAGGGGCGTGGTGATCCTATTTAAACTCACCCCCCTTTTTCTGCATCATCGTGGAGTTTTGACTTCGGCAGGCCCCACCCACCACTCCCTCAACTCAATTTAATGTATTATTTTATATCTAGGGTGGGGTTTCGGCACACTTCAACCGACTTGTTCATACTATACATACGTTATATTACAAGAATAGCACCGAACACAAATATATATATATATAAATGGAAAAAATGCCAGCACTTTGGGCTTTCCAAAACTCATTCTTTATTTTCTGTCAATCCAGGGGGTCATAGTTTCAGCTCCCATTCGGAGCTTTCATCAGGAAACTAATTCTAATTTTCATATATATATTCTACAGCACCCCTCACACTGCACCACTACACATATTATGGTCCAGATACATGCTAGATCCCTTACCCAACTCTGGATCATCTAATCTAAACACACACACACACTAGATCCCTATATACACTCTGAATCCTCTACACACACGATCTCCTATACACACTCTGGGTCCTTTACACACTAGATCTCCTACACACGCACACTGCACCACCTACACACACACTACATTCCTGACATACAAACTCTGGATCTCCTATACACACACTACATTCCTTGTAAGCAAACACATACTACATTCTCTAAACACACACTCTCTACAACCCCTACACACACTCTGCCCCCTATTCACACACTCTCTACAGCCCCTAGCCACACATATAACACCACAAACACAAATGAAATTGACCTATTTACACAATACCACACCACAATCAGCTCACTACACACACACAATCCCACAAGCAGGCTCCAAACACATGCACCATATGCTTTCCTGGCCCTTTTGTCCTCCCATATCCCACTTATGGAGACACCAGAGACAAGTTAAAATCAAACACAGCGCAAGCATGTTATTAAATTTGTGCAGAACCCTTATGCAGAACATATACAGGACCTTTTTCTCATGCCAGAGCTCTTCAGCGTGGCTCTGCGCATTGAACCAACATGCTCACTTTGAGATGGGGCGTGCTTGTCATTAGTAATGACAAAACACACCCTCTCTGGCCCTGCCCCCTTCTCTGCGGGCCGTTGTGATTGAAAAATGTCCGGGCCTAATTTTTTTCACAGTCCAGTCCTGTGTATAACCGCTGCAGAGAGCTATAACCACTGCAAGGAACTATAACCACTGCAGAGTGCTATAACTGCAGAAGGGAGCTATAACCACTGCAGAGAGCTATAACCACTGCGAGGAACTATAACCACTGCATGGAGCTATAACCACTGCAATGAACTATAATCACTGAAGGAACTATAACCGCTGCAGAGAGCTACAACCACCGCAGAGAACTATAACCACTGTGAGTTTGCAGTCTGAATTGACCTAATGGCAGGTGGATGGTTTTGCCTCAATGGGTACAGGGCCATTTGGATTTAGCAAATTAGCAGAGTATAGACATAAGGTGCTATGCGCTCCTACATCAAAGTGTCAATTACAGTAGACCCTTAGCTGGAGACATACATGGTGGTAAGTGTCCATTCTACTAGAGTTAACATAGCGAAACTGCTCTGTAATTTTAAATTAATGTAAACTCACAGTTTAAAAAGTGTATATGCACTGGTTTATTATGAATTAGAGACAGTATGATTTGTGAAGTGTGGACATAGATGAGAAACTGGGATAAAAAAACTGTGATAAGTTTTGCTGAAGCTGAAAGGGTTAAAGTATTGTGTGTTTTATTCGGTGGTAGGTTGTAATGCAGATAATAACAGTGTTTGACATCTATGAAGGTGTCAGGGCGTCTCCCATCATCAAAGAGCCATGTTTGATCTACAGAGTAAAACCATTAGGGTTTTATAGGATTAGTGGAAAAGGCAAGCGTCTCACGCTGAGATCTAACACCCTGACCTGTTTCTTCTTGTCATTGGAGATCCTGGAAGCACGTAGCAAGCTCTGTGAACCAAACAAGTATATCACATGCATCCCCTCAATATACATGGATCATATATCATCCATTACCCCAGGGCTACAAGGCTGTTTGACGTTAAGATGAGGGTACACTAAGCCATGTTCAGCGTATTTGCCTATTTATTCAGAATCTCTAGCTCTGAGTGAAATATCCTAAGTCAATACATGCACGATTATGAATGAATATGTGTGTCATTGCTTATGTAAAATTATACAGATGTTCTGTAAAATTACTGAGCAAATTAAAATACAAAAACAAAATCAAAACATACATGTATTGCTTGGTTTTTTTTGAAAATTCTTCTGCTGTTACTGAAAGTTAATTGTCATCACGATCAAGCAGCCAAGCACCGACAATATCAGTTATCCAAGTAACATGTGTTGGCAGCTTGATAAATCCTTCTCTCAGCTTGTCACTGACACCATCGATCATTCTGGATCTATCGATATCTAGTCTGAGGAGCCTAGTGACAGATCTGCTAGTCCTGAGTAATGAACCGTGGCTTCTGGTAACAGTTAAAGATGCCTTCTTAACTCCCATGTATTTAACTCTTGATTCATGCGCTGTGCAAAACCTTAAACAGACTATCAGCAGCATCTCTGTCTATAAGGAGGGTGATAGAAATTCTATGATTAGTTAGTTTCAATTAAGCAATCAGAGTGTTGTTATGAGTCAAATTACACAGCGTGGGAAAACTCCAAAGAACTTTCCCACGCTGTGTAAAATGACACAGAGCACTCTGATTGGCTGGATTTCAAGCTAACCAATCAGAGTGTTGTGACAGGTAAATGTAGAGACTTACCTGCCAGTCTCTTCATTTACCTGTCAGAACACTCTGATTGGATGGCTTAAACCCACCAATCAGAGTGCTCTGAGCCTAATTGCAGGGCGGAAATTGTGGAAATCACAAGAAAAAAGAGTTAAGGACTCAGCGCTTATTGTTCCCAATAAATAAATATATATACAGAGGTAATAAATAAATTTAGCTGCTAAACATTCTTGTGACTCCTTCAATGTCACCAATAAATTCAAACAGTAAAAAAGGAAGAAATTCCTTAAAGAATGTAGCGCTTATACAATAAGAAACAATATTATCACCTTTTGGTAATTGAACGAAAAATTTTTTTTCCTTATCCAGGTGTCCAATAAGTGGTTTATCTATAAAAGATCATCATACATAGTGCAGATAGTATATAACTGTACATTCATATATCTATATATGGTATTGTTCACTCACAAACAGAAAGCTGCGGACCCAGCTCTAGTTGAAATCACTCTCAGGTCCGTATAGGCGACCCACCCCTGTTTAGGATGTACGTCTTGTCCTACAGGGAGATAAATGGACCGGAGATAGCGTAGCACAGTCTGTGATAGTTAAAATAAAGATATCAATCCCAAATGGGTACTTACAGACAAAGAGTCTAAATTGACTCAATTCTTGAGCAATGTGCAGATTAGGGGACTGCACTCCCAAATGTAAAACGATGGATGGAGAACCAGATATAAAAAAATAAATGAATTTATTAACACAGTATAAAAAAAAATCAATTAAAATCGGAACAATGTCCAAATAAAAACCGGAACGCGTTTCACCACACAAGCGTGGCTTCCTTACCCGGATCGATGTGCTGAATGTCATTAGGTTCCCCGTCTCCATTTAAATACCCTTCTTAATGGTTCCATGTGGTACAGGTGTGTATCTCCCACCACTTGCAGGTAGGACGTGTGTGGTCCACGTCTCGTTTTCACACCGTCATCTGATGCTGTCCTCGCCTCGTTTTCACTTCCGTATCTTCAGATTGTTTAATTGTTCGTTCCATCAAGCTGTCACCATCGGACTGTCTTTATGTCCACACAATTCAGAAAACCTTCTTTACAATATAATTTCTAATCATTAAACAAACATATTTCGATTAAACAAACACATTTCGATTATATTTTTTCCCGTCATGTGAAAGTCGGCCAGTTGACTTGTAGGGTTTCGTAGTTCGTGATTGAACATATTGAAAAAAAGAGAAAAAGAGAAAAAGGATGATATCAATTCCTGACAATCATACAATTTGCTCAAGTTTGGCAGGCTTATCTTTACATTATTCTGAATAAGATATAATTAAGATACTATTTCTAGAGGATCATATTTATCTTATTTTTATATATTATATCATCCAAATAAAATTTAAATAAATGAATAAATAGGAAAAAGAGAGAATTGGTAACATTCCTATGCTTGTTAAGGTCGAGCAGAAAATCGTTATAAATCAACCATAGTTTTGATACATAGAATTCTTTTAGAATGTAACATTGTATTCTCATTCCCTGTGATTCATTGTAAAGTTGTATTATTATACAAAGGTTTCCTTTTCTCTTAAAAATTATTTCAAGTTTTAACCCCAAACACTTCTTCTGTTAGCATTCTTTTTTTACAATATTACATAAATAATCTGCAGAGACTCTGTACAGGGAATGAGAATACAATGTTACATTCTAAAAGAATTCTATGTATCAAAACTATGGTTGATTTATAACGATTTTCTGCTCGACCTTAACAAGCATAGGAATGTTACCAATTCTCTCTTTTTCCTATTTATTCATTTATTTAAATTTTATTTGGATGATATAATATATAAAAATAAGATAAATATGATCCTCTAGAAATAGTATCTTAATTATATCTTATTCAGAATAATGTAAAGATAAGCCTGCCAAACTTGAGCA